GTGGATAGAAAAGGAAGCCAGGAAGTGCCCAAGTTTCTGGCTTTGTGAGACTGAGCTTTGTCTGGCCTCTACCCGTTGACCTTTCAGGCGTGATTGCATCTACGGCCGGGAGAAGCTATCCTGTATAGCTCGCAGGGTCACTGAGGCGCGCAGGCCATCACACCACGTCAAGGTGCAGTCTCGTCGTGATGGAGCAGCGTATGCAGGACTGAAATTTGAGGGTACAAGACATTCGTCTTTTAGCAGTTTTCGGCAACCGAGGCTTACGTAGTCTGGTCCCAGGGAGATGGAGTGAGCGGGTTAGTAACTTGGAAGTAAGTCGTCGGGTGTTTGGGAATGCATCAAACAAGAACTCTGTATCTCATCGAATCCAGCTCAATAGGCTCCGCTGGTTAGGACACGTTTTGCGTATTTCCGATGGTCGCCAACCGCAGCGTACTTTATTCGCAGTGGTTGTTGCACGCTGGAGAAAGCCACGTGGCCAGCAGATGACGTGGAGACAATGCATGAAGAAATGCACAGAGCGATTAGGTAGTGTCTCTCGTCTAAAAGACTCCGTAACCGCATGGTTGGAAACATTGAAGGTCATGGCTGCTAACCCGCAGTAGTTGTGATCATGCTGTCACTTCGTCAGACCAGAATGCTTGAAAACCTGTGTATGAACAGTTGGACTGTGTAATCTGTGTGTTGCCAATAAAGGTTCACTTTCTTTTCCCGTCCCTAAAAATAGGCCTAACCCCTATCCCCCCATACACTGACCTTGTATGCATTATGAGTTTGGCAGAGATCAATGAAGTTCGTTGTACCACGCTGTACTTTGATGATGATGATTTGTTCGATGCATTCACAACCAGCGCGAAACCCAGCCTGCTCCTCGCGGGTTTGCTCTTCATGCATAGTGTACAATCGACGGAGAATGATAGACGCCAACGGCTTTGACGCTGTCAGGATCAGGCTTATAACCGTAAGACTGGCGCAGTCACTGCGCGGGCCCTTTTAAAAGAAGGGGTCGATAATCGATTCCCCCCACGAGGGAACCTGTTCAATGTTTCAAACTGTAGAGAACAGAACCTGTGGTTCTCTAACAAGCTTTATTCCATCATCTTTAAATAGAGCTGGGAAGGTCAGCGGAGCCCGGTGCTTTGTGGCGTCCCAAGCCTTGGATCTTACGGATTTCCGCATCAGATGGGTCTGTTGAGTCAGACCGTGAGACGTGAGCTGCAATAGCTGTGAGAAGCTGATGCCGGTGGCCAGCTAAAGTGTGCTTCAAAGGGCTCCGCTCAGCGTGCAAGACGTCACTATTGATTGTTAATGGGCGTTTAACACGTGGCGATGTTCATCTTCTCACCTCACCTTCGTGATGTCTATAACTGGCTCCGTAATTGTGCAGAAGCGAATTCTTATTCCTTTCCACAGCAACTTTACCGTCCTTTTTCAGCAGTTGAAGTTCTCTCTCCAACTGCTTAATTATACATGACATTTCTCGGCAATTGGACTGCACACCCAGTTTTTCCACAGGATTTTCGGCCTTTAAGGGATTTTTAGCTTCTGATTTGTCCACTAGGATTTGTTTTCCCATTGTTTTAACTGCTGATCCTCTGCCTGGGGATGGCTTGAAAGTTGCGGCTTTTTCCGGTTTCGCTCTGTTGTCCTCACCCTTGAGCGCCAGTGCTGCTTTCAGCATTCTCTTGAACTCCTCGGCGACAGCTATGCAGTGGTTACACTCACTTTAGAGACTCCTCTATCTTATTCCTTATCGCGCATCGCTTACTCCAGCATTAATCATAACCGCTCCCCCCTTAGTTTCTCCTTAAATTCTTATCTGGGCCTTATTTCTGCTTGGGGCTGTTGCAACCATGTTCTCTTCAGTGCCAGTAAAACTCTCCCATGTTCATTTGTCTTAAACACACATCTTTCTCCCCTTCCCTGAATTTCAAATCCAACATTCTCCGTTCCACAGAATCATGCAACCTATTGGGTCTTTCCTTATTTTCTTCTTTCATGGTCACCTTATATTTATCTACTTGTTTCCCGCGCTGCGCGCAAAATCGGCTTACTCTACCACGCCAGATGTTCCTTCACCCCCATCCACCTCCTCACGCTTTACAAAGCTCAGATTCGCCCTACNNGGAGCTTCGTCCACCTCTCTTTCTCTTCTTGATCGGGTTCAATGTAAATCCATCCGTCTCATCAACGACCCGTCCCTAATATGCAACTTGCAGTCACTAGCTGACCGTCGGGCAGTTGCTTCTATATCCTTATTCTATCGATTCTACTTTGGAGTTTGCTCTAATGAACTATCCGCGTCTGTCCTTCTCCCGCTTGTTCTTCCTCACAGATCCAGCGCACAAGCGACTAGCCACGCATGTCAAGTGGCTATCCCCAGGTGTCGCACTTCTAACCTTCAATCATCTTTTCCCCCAAGAACAGTACAACTGTGGAACACTCTCCCCCTTTCTATCTTTCCTGCAACATCATTATCTTTAAACGCAAAATCAACAAGCTGGTTCTAGCTTGAATGTTCCCCACACCTTCCTACTTACAGAATGTCTTCGGATCATGGGATTTACCCCTTTTACTCTATTCCCTTTCGTGTAATAAAAAGGTGGCTTCAAGCTTTGGAGGGCGGTGACCTCAGATGACGACGTATTGACGGTCGCTAAGCAGATTGTTCTGCTCCAGTTGGTAGAGGAGTTGATTAGCAACAACTGATTCCATAACCTTCGAAATGACTGGTGAG